GCTGGATTGCTCGGGTTGATTTCTATAATCCATGATTTCAAAAAGTTATATTATAATTATGTAGTTACATGTGGAGAGGCAATTTATTTATTATTATTATGTAGTTAAAAAAAGTTAAGTATAGACAATTTATTTATTTATTTTATTTAAACCTTTTTTTTATTTTATTTTGCTAATGCCATTTTATACATTTTATATATCAATTTTGATTTCATTGCTGAGAGAAAAGATCACTCTTTGTTTTGCTTATTTCGAATAATAAAATAAACGCAACCACCACGGTTTAAAAACTTTACATATGCAGGTGTTTTCAAGGATTTAGGATTTACTAGTCAATGATCACGTGTGGGACCATATCCTTTAAAAGAGAATCGAAATGATGTGATTGTTTAAAGTTTAAAATTCAACTTTATTTGTCTTTAAAATATCAACAAAAAAAACTTTGTTAATATTTATAAAAAAAGGTAAATTGATAAAAGGATTTTTTTACAAAAGATTTAAAGATTTATGATGAATTATTGAAAAGGAATCGAAGAAATTGATTTTTGTTGTTAGAAAAGGCTGAGATTATTAGTAGTAGTGTTGTTAATATTAAAAAAAAAAATTAAATTATTGAAATATAAATAATATTTTTAGTGATTTGTTAAATTTGTTTTGAAATATATAAGGAGTTATGAAAAAAATAAAATAATTATCTCTCTTGGATTTACAAATTTATGAAATTATTAATTTCTTCCTATACGCAATATGTAGTAAAGATTCATCTTGAATTTATTAACTGCAGATCTAATTATTGCTTGTTTAGTTCAATATCTTCCTCATTAGATAATAATGGGATAATCCTGATTGTCATTATTATAAATTAAATAAAATAATTAAAAGAAAATAATATATGAAACAAGTTAATTGAATGTGTGTATGATAATTTCTTTGACAAGAAATTTATATAATATAGGTGTGTGTGCATGGAGAAAGGTTTATTTGTGGGGAAAAATTTATTTGTGGGGAAAAATTTATTTGTAGAGAAAAAGTTCAAATCATTATTTGCAATAAGCTTACCAATCATCTGAGAGTGTATCAGATCCTTGAGGAGATCCTGGTGAATTAGATCCACTAGATCCCAAAAGAAATACATATGGTTCAAAACTATCTGAATCTTTAATATCTAATTCAACAGAATCAGAATCATATCCTTGTTCAGATGAATTGTATTCCGATTCTGAAAGATCTAAAATTGATGTGCCTCCTTTTGCTTCTTGGATTAATTTAGGGATTAAGAATGCTTTGATAAAATTATCAGAATAAACGGTATATGGATTATTGTTATACAGTGGTGGATCTTTAAAGCTTTGGCATTTCTGTAAAATATCAGAAATATTAACATCTGGATCTC